ATTCAATTAAAGCTGGCAGCTACAGAGAGATGGCATTTAAATGATATTCTTTTTACACCTGCATTCACAGACAGTTTGCTTTAAAAAATTCCCACAGGAAAAAGACCACCACAAACTTGCAGCAAAATCAAATGAAAAATAAAATGCTTTTGTTATTCCAAGAACTTCAAGATCTTTTAGAAGAACTTAATACAAAATTGGCATACAACTTAAAAATTGTTCTGTTTTATAAGGTCTTCCTAAATCATTCTGGTTTGTTTAACTTCAGTAAACAGAAGAATGTAGTTTCCTAATATTGAGTAATTAGACTCAATTTTATACATTTAAAAGAACAGTTTTTAAATATTACGAAGAAAAATTTTATGCAATGTATTTATTAGTTTATTGCTTGATCATTAGTTTTGTTAATTTACAAATTTAGCTAAAATTTGGATTCAAGGAATTTCAGAGTCTATTATACAATCACAATTCCCATCTGGTACATTTTTTCTTATTCGTCTTTTTTCAATGTATAATTCTTACATGGCTAGGAAAGAAGATTATTCATAAAGTTCTCAAGCATTTTCAACATTTTCACTGAAAAAATATAACTTACTCCAAGAAGTCTTGGCATATTTGTACATTCAGAATTACTAAGAAATTCATTTCAAAGTGAAATCATGTCTCAGTGTGAAAAATACTTATTATCTTAAAATATAAAATTTTATTCTTGTTGCCCTCTGAATAGTAAACTAAGTTAGGGGGGAAAGAGAAAAAATTCTGAAGAGTCAGTATAAAATTCATATGCACACAATTACCAGTGATACTTTCAACAACATAAAAATAACTCTCCCAAGCACTTCACCAATTCCTGCTACTCCCACTGCGAAACAGTAAGCTCTTACTGAAGTTCACAAGAGGAAAGACTCAGTGGTCAGAGGGAAATAACTTTACTACCAATGACACTGGACAACAATCTAGAAGCTGGGATTTTTCCCAAGAGAAAATGCTATTTCAGATCCTAACACGAAAAAAATTTCATAAGTATGTATGTATGAATTTAATTAAAACTCATAACTTGAGTAATCTCTAAGAGCTAAAGAAACAAAGGCAGCCTCAAATCCTCATGTAGTGTTTTACTTCCACAATACAAAGGTGCCGCCCAATTTTAACCTACCATTAAAATCCACAACAGATAAACTGAAAACAAAGCACTCACAATATTAATTGGGCCCATTTTAGAAGCACCTATTTATCTACACAGCTACGGTAGTAAAAAAGGTCAACCAAAAATTTACCTCCAAAGCCACGGTTGCTAAGCAACTCTTTTCAGAAGTTCTGCAACGCTGATCAAGCACATTACTGGTGCCACCAGCTGGATTCAGAATAAATGTGAGTAACATCTTACCTGGTTTCTTCAAAGGAGGAGAGGAGGAGGATACCTTGTTTACTTTTTTGGACAGACACTGGAGGCCAATCCTGTATTCATTTGGTGAGTGAGGTGCAAAGGTTTTATATTTTTCCTTTTTTTTTTTTTTAAAGGATACGTCCTGGTACCACAGGTTTCCTGTTCACGAGAGCAAAGGACAGTTCTGTTTTGAGAAACACCACAGAAGGCTTGATGAGATGTTGGCCAAATCTGAATGACATTTCCTTGTAGTTAAAGTCTGAAAGAGAAGACAATTAGGAAATGGACATTCATAAAATCCACCTAAGAAATTCAGTTCATATACCACTTTAAAGAAAGCAAATTCCATTACTCTAGAATCTTAGTTGCAAAGAGGATAATATTTAAACTGTTCCCCATTTAATGTTCACTAAGATGTATTCTGGGTAAGTCTTCCTAAAATACTCAATTCTCCCTGCAAGAGCTACTTGGACTGAGGTAGTGTTTTCAAGCAGGAGCTTGCACGCACTTCAGGTTGCCACCTTAACTCAAATTCACAGGGCCCTATTTGCCAGGTACTTATTGTTATCCATCCATTTCATCTCCTCTGTTGCTAAGTTGAAAATTTTCATTATTAAGTACTGACTATAAACCTTCTAATTCTTAAATACTTCTCTCAAATGATTTTATCTTTGTTTATATTACAGTAATTTAGAATAAGTACAAACACTGTTTGACCTTGACTACAATTACAAAAACATAAGAGCACTCCCAGAGAAGTATTTCCGTAAAATTTCCAAAATTAAAGAGAAAAAAATTGAGAAAAGAAGGAAGGGGCAAAATAGAGTATGAGTCTAGAACAATTCTGGGTGACACTGAGCCAAGATGCAGCAATGTCCCTGAAGTGTTCCATGTACTCCTTATGGGGGAAAGCCACAGACGGGAGGTGAAGCAGGATGCGGCACGTGGCAGCTGGAGTAAGCCAAATCCGCTCAGCACCAAGGAATGACTTTTCCATCAGGTGGATGCCTATACATGACAAAGTTACTCTCTAAATGACTAACACACACTGTCCCCAAATTACTTCACTTTTCTAATTCAGGAACAGCCTACTACAAAACTGATGAACAAAGATCAGCCTATGGAAAAACAGAGATAGTACTAAAAAAAAGGATGAAATCAGAAAATGGCTGGGTAATTTATAACAACTGCGCATTTATTTAACACCAATTAAACAATTGTGCATTTATTTTACATCAATAAATGCACAATTGTTTAATGACTCTGATGTTCTCAGTGATACACAAGGCAGAGATCTATGCAAATGTCATCTACTGTAGAAGCACACATAGCCAGAACTTGACACATTTCAGGAACTAAAGAAATAAGATGGAAAGTTCTGCCAAAATGATACAGGTGTTAGTTTTTAGAACATTTCCAACTATCTCATAAAAATGAAGCATCAATAAGGATGTTGAAAATCATCTAATCCGATGGTTCTCAAGGTGTGGTCGCCTGACCAGTGGCATCAGCATCATGTGGAAACTTATTAGAAATGCGAATTCTCAGGCCACGCTCCAAACCTACTGACCCAGAAAGTTTGGGAAAAGGGCCGAGCAATTTCTGTTTTAATAAGCTGTTGGGGTGATTCAGAACCACAGATGAAACCCAACTGTCTTCCCAATCCTTGGACCTTTCCATATTGAATTGCTGCCAAGTGGCTGGCTAGCATCTGCTTAAATACGCCCACAGATGGAAAGTTCACTATCCATTCCTCCTAAGACAGTCGACTCCACCGATAACATAGTTAACTCTTTATACCAAGTCTATCTGTTATAGATTTATTCTTTCGGGCCATATGAATCAAGTATCATGCAAGCAGCTGTGATTCAGATACTTAGAGTTAACCATGCTTTCCCACAGTTTTTCTAGAATAAGCATGGCAAGTCATGCTAACCTCTCTACTAACAGTGTTGATTCAAGACACCAGGAGCCACCTGTGGTTTTTGTGTTTTTGTTTTTGTTTTTTTGCCTCTCCAGCATCTACTTCCTGTAATTCTAGCCATACCTCTTTGATTTTTCTCTGGGTAATACCTCCCCATATTCTATATGTGGAGCTATTCCAACTGCCTGGTTACAGGGATGGGCAAATGACCCAGGCATCCTTTGTCCTTTGGCATATGATTGGTTCAGGAGTGGACACATGACACAAAATGAGCCAATCAAAGGCAAGAATATCCTTCAGAAGAGTATTGCTGATATTAAGAAAGGCTCTTTCTTTCAGCTGAGTTGCCAGGCTGGTAGAATATAAACCTGAAACAGCTAGATATTTCACTAAAAGGAGCCTGCCTTATATCAGAGCCAACTCTGAGGTGAACAAAGGCTCTTTCTTTCAGCTGAGTTGCCAGGCTGGTAGAATATAAACCTGAAACAGCTAGATGTTTCACTAAAAGGAGCCTGCCTTATATCAGAGCCACCTCTGAGGTGAATAGAGCCGAGATGCAGAGAGACCCTTACCTAATGACACGGTCTTAGCACCTGGATCTAAAAATGCTGGAAGGAACAATGCCCCTGGATTTTATTTCTCCTTAAGGATAATTGTGCAGAATTCACTTAAGCATATGCTCTAGTTGACGAGCTACTATTATTATGAGTCCACGAAAGGATCTTCTTTTGGTTCTCATTTTTCTTATCACTTTCCCTTTCATTCTCTAAACCCAGTTCCATTCCCTTTCCCTCAACACCACAGGTATTCACTTTTTCAAGACAAATGTAGTATATAGAATTCATTTCACATGTTGGAACACACATATTTCATATGTCAAATATATATAGGGCTCTTATAGTTTTAAATTTTGTATATAAATTTTATATTTTAAGTATCATTCTTCCATTTCCTCTCAACATTGTTCTAGGACTCACCCATGTTGCTATAAACGATCCCTTCTCACTGCACTCGACTGCAGTTTTCCTTGTCCATTCCCCTAGTGCTAAAGAGCTAGCTTGACTACAATCTTTTACCACTAATAACACTGTGACTACCATTTTTATACACATTTCCCTAGATACCTATACTAGAGCTCCATTACTGAGTTTCAGATCATACACATACTTAGATTTCCTAGAATATATGCATCAGTTTGTGTCCCTAGCAGCAATACATGAGGATTTCTATTTCTCACATCCTTGACAGCACTTGATAGTAACTGCGTTCCTAGCTTTTAATAACTGATAGGTAAAATGGCATCTCTTCCTTTTGCTTATCTCCAACAGTGACGTGTGCGGGTATATGCATGATTCTCCTCCTATGAATTGCCAGTTCATAGACGTTGTCTTCTTTTACATTGGTCTCCTCCCTTCTATTTTCTGAATTCTCCAGAGTCCATTGTATATTCTAAATATTGATCATGATCTATTAAAAACATGACAATTATTTTTCCACCATCTATTAATTTTTTCTATTATTCTTGCCATTAAACAAAAAGCATTCATTTTGATGTATTCAATTTTCTTTTTATACTTTGTACTCTGTGAATCTTATGCAATAAATCTTTCTCTACCATAAGGTTGCGAAAATACATTCATATATTTTCTTCTATCAGCTTTGTATTTTCATCCTTAACAGTTAGGTATTTATTCTACTTGGAGCTTTGTTTATAGTATGAAGTGTGGAAATAGTCTCATTTTTCTCCTTTTGTGAGCCAATTTTCCTAGTACCAATTTCTGGGAATGAATACACCAAGTTCCCATATGTACATAGGAATGAGTCTGGACGACTATA